TTCAACGAGAATCATATTATTGACTATCCTGTATTTATGCAGATAAACATGGGTTTTTTTGTAAAAATATCTAATGGAATTTTTTCTGCCTAACTATCATATTTTAAATAGAATTTTATTTTCATATGCTAAATAAAAGTATATCCTCTTTCTTGATTTTTGGCCAATATCATAATCTATCGAGGTCAAAATCAACTTAAAAATACAATTTTATTTATCTATCGTGTCACTTGACTTCTAGAATGTCGAAAGTCGCTTTTTTCGGATTTGAGGTGATCTTTTAAGAGTAGTGCAACCATTTTAGCCTAGTATTTCGTCAAATAATCATCTACTACCTGACGTCATACTACGTAATAGGGTTAGTTAAAAGGAAGCCGCACTTTGAGTTACATAAATATTCACGGGTTTACATGCTAGTGTATTCTGTCCTCTTTTGTACTGCCATACTCAGCACATCGTCAATATAGCCTAGCCTCTTCAGGACATTTTTGATTACTGGGCTTAAATTATCATGAGTAGAGCCGGCTAGTTTGAATGTATCTACGAGTTTTCTAATCATGAAAATACTTACATATTTATATACACAGATGTACATATTAACCTAACTATAAATATATTTAAATATACAACTATGTAAATATAAATAGAGATCGAGCCTCATATATGTGTCAAGTAGATTCCTTAAGTGCATTTTAAACAACCAGATAAACGCAAATAAATTTCAGGTTTGTACAACAGTTGCTCTCACATTTGGGCCATTTTCCAAAATCATGCAGACCCCATGGCTCAGTTATGTTTATGGCTAGAAGAGACCGCAGTCCTTGAGGTTGTTCCTAATTATTACATCTATAACAGCGTCAAAAACAACCTGAACATTGCCAGTGTCTGTGGCACAAGTGAAGTGGGTATATATTGCTTTGGTATCCTTACGTTGATTCAAGTCTTCAAATTTATATTGGATATAACTGGACGCCTCCGCATAATCCATGCTACCTGTATACTCAGGGAAACAGATAGTGAGTGGAGATTTTGCGATTTTCTCCTCGAAAAGATCACGCTTATTTAGGAATAGTATGACACTTGTATTCACGAACCAGGGGCTATTGCAAATTGAAGCGAATAGACGCATGGACTCATGCATTCGGTTAGTACTTTGGTCTTCGATCAGTTTGAGATCATATTCAGACATTGCAACTAAAAATAAAATAGCAGTAACGCCTTCGAAGCAATGCATCCACTTTTTACGCTCTGAGCGTTGTCCACCTGGAAATTTAAATAAAAGATATTATTTTTATGTAACAGTTATATTTTTACATAGCTGATAAACATGAAAAACGGTGGGAAATCTTTGGAATATTTCACTTTAGAATCACTAAATAAACTTATTTAATCTCTTTCTTCGGAGCTTCAAGAAGACCTTAAGGTTTCATCTTAAAGCTAGGCACTTTAAAAGGTTTAGTATTTATTTTATTGGCTGTGCACTATTCGAGGCTATATTAATGAGATAACTTGACCTAAAGTTGTTTTTCCTTCAAAAGCATGTTGATCTATTGATTTCGTATTTTCTTTACTAACTAATTGCTGATGTATACTTTTTAAGAAATCCCTATATATAGAAAACTTTTATGGCATAAGCGAATATGTATAACCAGCCTAAATGGATACTGAAGAAAAACTAGTGCTTATATTTTACTTAGCAAATATTTTGAAGGCATTCGAATAATGCAAATATGGATTGTAACTAGGTTTTTAATAGACATTTAGCTCTCATATGGGTTTTCTTATTTACTACTTACAAGAAAATGTTATTAAAGAGACACATTGCAAATATTTACCTATAGCTCGAGTGGCTTTGCTGTTTAAATAGGCCATTCATGGGCTTATGTGTGTTAGTAATATTTTATAATTACCTGACTCATTTTTTAGTTGCGTTATGCCCAGCTCAAAATCACTTAATAAAATAGGAAATCTCGTTTTCTTCATCATATGTCGGAAACGACCCTTTAGCTGGCGTTAGATCTGTTAGCTCATGAAATCTCCACTCATTCCTGAGTAACCATTTTCCGCTATAACTAGTTATTTCATTCATTCCACTACGGTATCCCTTTGTTTCCTGCACTGAGACTTACCAAAAATCAAATACCTAATAGGAATTAATATGCAAGGAGCAAAATGGAACACTCTTTAAGCATGACAGTTATGCATATATTAGTCATATCAAAGCTGTGGTTGCAAGAGCCACGTTATTTAAGTTTTCAAAATAGATATCAACTTTGAGGGCACTTCACTTTAAACAGTGAAGCAAAGTTACTCATATCTAGGATATAATCCTATGAAAATATTGCCATTTGTTATTAACCCCTATCTTGCTATTCTATTTGACCACTCATTCTAAAGTATCAAAATTTGTTGAACCTTATCCAATAAAATTAGAAGATTCTGTCCATACATCAATGAAGGTCATAAATAGGGCTTTTATGTGTAAATTAGCCAGAGAGTAAGAGTTATTAGTACGTTAATGCTATTAGCCCTATCAGTAACTAAAGGCCAACGGTAGAATAAAAATTGGATCAATAAACAAATTAATAAGAAATGAATGACAAGCTAAAGGAGACATAAGTATGTTGAACTTTTCCACGAGATAAGTGAGGAAGATGATCGAAATTGCTAAAAGTTGCATAAATCAATAAATATGCTCAGGGTCCCCTGCAAATATTTGTAAAAATTTGGTATTATATCCTTTAAATAAATAGATTTCAAACATGCTAGAAATGTGTTCGAAAGTTAGGCAATCAATTTTGGAATAAAAATCCTATCAATCGAATGATATAAATTAGATTTAGCCTCAAGGGCGGAGATATAGGAAGTGCTCCATAGAAATTCACTTCGTCGCACACAGTGTGATACAAATTCGCTATCTGAAACTTAGATCCGGAGATTGTAAATAGATTCGGATTTACAATAGTACTTTATATAGCAATTTAAATTATAAATATTAATAACAGTAATTTAGTTGACTTGTGGAAAGGGTAATCCTAGATAAATAACATATATAGGTGCAGGCAGTTTTTGCGGATGCATTGTGAAAAATGGAGACTCGGATGCAGTGGACATATTTGAGCAAATTGGTAGATTATACTAGTTTAGAGAGGATAGAATTGTATTCACTATTATTTTGTTTAAGATGATAAGCATTATGGTAGGTGAATTTGCCCAGAATGATGTGAGTATATGTGAAGTTTCCATTGAATTCCACAAAGCCCTGTCTTTCCAAAAGATATTCTTATTTATGGTCGACTGTAATTTCCACTCTATCTAGATCTTATCAACATACCCAGTGTGACTTAACCCATGAAAGTGTAGCGTAAAATCTCGAGGAGTCGACCACTATGCCACTTCGCCACGAATGTTCTTGGGTCAAAGGGCGGATATGAATTTCCAGAAATGCCAAGCATTTCTCCATATCACATTCTGCGGTGGAATTGCCGATTAAGCAAAGATGTATTTGCCCTAACAACCGATTACATTTCATATTTTTCGTTTATAAGTAGGCGTTTGAGACTTCTAGTGGATCGCATATTGCAGGTGTATTCGCCTACCAGTCTCCTTACCACCTAAAATGAAATAGGCCTAATACACCTCATATATGAGGTCTACTAGTAGTCTCAAAAACAAACGTATAAACGATAAATAGGTAATGTAGTGCTATAGTTAACGCGTAGAGCTTAAACACGGCACTTACATAGTTCGAGTCTCACTGCAGGTGTTGATAAAACCTATGCGAACTAGAAACTGCAGTCTACACTAGATGAGAGTACACTTAGAGAAAGCAAGGCATTGTGAAATTCAAAGAAGATTTAAAATTTACTCATTTCATTGTGAGAAAATTCGACTACTAGTCCCCTTATCACCTGAAACCAAATATAGTTAATCCATCTATTATACATATTATCTACTGGTAGTTTTAATGACCTACTTTTGAAAAGGAGAGAATTAAATTTTTGACCATTTTCTCTTATTTTGTCTCAAATAGATGAATTTACGAGTCGGAACTAATAGACAATATGTATAACTTCCGCCCGCATTTTACCCGGAATAAATGAAAAAACGGTCTAGGAAGCACAATGCAAATAAATAATATAAGATTACTTAATTGAATTTGTAATAACAAGTAAATAATGACGCAATTATAGTGTGTAAACGAATATTATTTTGCTGCGGTAAACCCCAAAATCAATGAAAATATAAAGTGAAAGAAATCCTGACTTAATAGCTTTGTCTAATTAGGCGACATTTTCTGACGTTTATTTAAAATCCCAAAGGTGCCTTAGGCTTATATTGAAATTTTACTTAATCTGGTATCCAGTATGCTTATTTCTACCAGCACGAGCTGTTGTGCTCATTCTTAAAAATAAGAATGTTGGATGAAGAAAGAAATAATCGTATATTGGTCCTGATGCTAGGGGGAATATAAAAGCAAGAGTAATAACCTCGGCACTTTAAAAAAGCACATTTACGACATAAGCAGAAATAGTGCTGGCGGAAATATTAACTAAACGAGCAAAAAAGTCCTAACTGAGTTGAGGTAAACGAAGTCTTCTACATGTATGTACAATCCTTCGCTTGGTTAACCAGTTGAGTTTATGTATAAGTCTATGTAAACAGAGGATTATTTACTGGGTGCATTCTTAGAATTTTTACATGTATCCTAGTTGAGATTGAAATAAAGTGCCATCATCTCTAGTATAATTAGCAACGTTCTCACTGGTGGTTTTTACTTCAGTACTAAGAATGTCATTTCCTAAGGGCAGTGCCGAATTTTTTGTCCATGTAGTCTCTGGCAACGTAAACCTTACGATACCGCTATAAAACGGCAAGGAGGACAAAGGGCTTTATATGAATAATTATCTTCTTAGTGTAATAAAGGTTATAAAACGAAGTCCAGCCAACTCTACAAATTGAAAGTTAATTGTGACGAAGACGAACGCAATTTCAGTTTATTATTAATAGCTATGTTGAATGTATTATTTTTTATCAAAAATTGTTCATCATATTACAAAAATTCTAAAAAATTTTGTGCGTTATACACGCATAGGTCTAAGGAAAAGAAGATAAAGCTAGCATAAAATGTTTTTGGAGTCTTAACATAAATAGAATTTAGAAAATGGCACTGAGTATCACAATTGTT